TCCCTCTGGAAGCTTTAGGGGAGAATAAGTTTCCTCATCGTACCAACTTCTAAGAGGCTGCCACATTCCTTGGCCATGGCCCTGCATCACTCCAGCCTTTGTTTCTCTAGTCCTCACATCTCCTCTCTGTCTCTTACCCTGCAGTCCCCCTCTTGAAAGGACCTTTGTGATTACATTGGGCCCACCCAGATAATCAAGGATAATCTCCTCATTTTGAGATTCTTAATTTAATTACATCTGCAAAATCCCTTTTGATATATAAGGATATAAGGTAACATATTCACAGGTTCTAGAGATTAGTACACGAACTTTTTTGGAGGATCTACTATAGGGATTAGTAAAAAGCACTGTCTCAGGGTCAGCCTGTGTGGGTCCAAATCTGGTTCTATTAATTAATAGGCATAATATCTTAGGAAAAACTATTAGTTTTTCTGTACCTTAATTTTCTCATCTGTAAGATGTAGACATAAAAAACACAAATTTTACAAGTTTTTATTAAAACTAAAATAATATGAGTAAATTACAAAGGCTTATACTAGACCAGTACAGTTAGCAATATATAGGAAGTAGAGATAGTGTCCACCCGGATTATGTGTCTAACTAGAACAACATCTGTAGGAGGCCTCTTACAGAGGACATTACCCTCATTTAAACAAACAAACAAACAAAAAACCCTGTTCAAGTTCTGACTTGGAATGAGGACTCATGTTTCTCTCGCTGTATAATAATTGATCTATCTCTACATAACAACCAAAAAGAATGCACACTGATATATTTGAGTAATAATGCCCAGTTTTCCCTCACTCATAAGAAACTCCATTTTTAACCAGTGTAATTTGTCACAGTTGGCTTTCCTCAAGATTGTGATACTTCCTTTCTGTAAGTTCCTTGCTGTTCTCATCCCACAAATCAGTGCTGGTATTGGTAAATGCACTTGTATCTGGGCGTTTGTTTACTCTCTCTTCTGACATGGCCATTCAGGGCTTAATGTAAGTATAGCCTTTATCAATTAACAGCCATGGGGATTTGTTTTTTGTTGAACACTGCTCAAAATGCTAGGTAAGTGCTTTATTTATTCAACCAGTGCAGGCTGAGTACAAGATCCTTTGTCTCTTTCTAGTCCCTTATCCAAACTCTAATTAGTGCTGTCAGTGACAAGACAACAAACAACAACTTTTGAAGAACAGTCACTTCTTAATTGCTTCTTGATATGGAAATGGTCTTCTCATTCCTCTGCCCCCTCCCAATAGACAGCACAATCTGAGCACTACCATCATCTCTCTCGAGCACTGGCTTAAGGAGGCACCAGTGCTCAACCACTTAAAACCACTATGTGATAGGTTCCATATTAATAGATGATTTCTACTGCTTAAAATGTATTTCTGAGCTTTCCTTATCTCCTAAACTCATAAATCAACTCAAAGTCACTTTCTCTGTGAGAACTTTCTAAGGCCTCCAAGAAGAATTCATCTCTCCTGAGAGCTTCTCACTTTGCACTTCTATGGAGCAATTATCACAATGTATTATCTTTCTGTGTTTACCCAGCCTTCCAGCCATAGTCTATAAGAACCTTAGTCAGGGACCTAGTCTGGTTCACCTTTGAATTCGCAAAACGACAGAGTATGAGTTTTTCTATGTTTCTCACACGGGTATAATGAATGAATGAATGAATGAATGAATGAATGAATGAATGAATGAATGAATGAGTGGGTGAAAGCAAGGTTCAAAAATAAAAAGGGTATTCAACTCGAAGGATGTATGTTAGGAAAATTCTTCTGAAAAAAGAAAAATAAAACAGAAAATGTCACACATAAGCTACTGGAATTTTGTGTGTTATAGTGCTTTAATTTTTTTAAAGTGAGTAACTGTGAGCTTTATTTGGAATGTTTCAAATATTATTTTTTAGTTTAAAGTGCTATTTATTCATGAGTTTATTCATTCAACAATTATACATTTATTGTCAACTATGCAATAGATAAAATGATACTATTAATTCAGGTATCATATGAATATAATGTTACTATTGACGTATTCTGAAACTGCCTGAAAACATTAATACAGCACATAAGGTTAGGAAAAAGGAATTGTGGAAAGATATTGGCTTTGAGTCTTGTGGAGAAATTAACCAGTTCAGGTTAACTGTCTTTTTTTACTGTAGCTTTGTAAGGCATAGATTTATAACATCTATTTGTTATTATTTTCTATTAATTATTAAGTTGAAAATGAAAATCTAGTGTGTTCCATAGAAAATACAGAATCTTAAGAGTTTTTCCCATTAATATTCTTTGTAAATTTAATTTCCTTAAATACCTAAATGAAAATCATATTAGCCAAATGGGTGAGAAAAAAAAATTAACACAGCAGATATTTTTGCATGTATATAAATATTTGGACATGAGCAAATTAGTACTTCACATATAAGGAAAATGTAGACACAGTGCTGTCACTATGGATGCATATAGTATTATGGAATCATATTTCTTAATTAATAACATATGGATAAGAAAAGTTAACAGTAACTGGTAAGAATAAGAAACCTTCCTCTTATGCAGAGACTCACCAAACTTATTTGAAAACAGTGTTGATCAAACTGAATTTTTCAAACAAGAACAAGTCGAACAACATAAACTGAATATTTTTTAAAGGGTGCAGTGCACATATTGCTAAAAGCATTGTTTTTACTAAATTTCATATTTCTTGTTATGTACATTTAATTTTTCAATATGCTGATTTATTAAACCTATATTTCAAAATGAGTTTAGTTAGAAATAATTGTCAAATAAGTGAAATATTAATATATTTTATAGATATGGAAAAAATACCAGGTACAAACCAATGAATTCATTCAGACAATTCAACTAGGGTTAAGCATTTTTAAATTTAAAAATAGTAGAAATCCATGTTAAAGGCTTTAAATAAGTGCTTCTGTTTGTTTATTTGTATTAAAGACTTCCTATGCTCATTAAATGATATTGATTTGGGTTATTTTAGCAGCACATGGTCCTTCAGCCTATTTGACCATTTTGTTTGTTGACTGGTTTGATTTTAAACATATTATCCACTAAGTAAACAAAGGGAGAAACTTTACATTAAGGCAAGTTATGAGATGGGCTTTCAGCTGTGTGGGCAAAGGCTGACTTTTCTCCAGGTCCTTTGTAGCTCAGTTGTATAAAAAGTATATCTCATATTCTAAGTATTCCATCTGCATTATTTCATTCAATACTCACAGCAACCCTTCAAGTGGCTATTATTGTTCTCTCTCTCTCTTCCCCCCAGAAGAAACTGAGGCATAGAGATGTTAACTTGCACGACTTCCAGGGCTGTTAGAAAAGGGGCGCGAGGATTTAAACATACAGTTTGATTCCAGAGTCTGCAAACGTCACTACCGTGCTGTTCTTTTTCATCTATTGACACTTTACTCTGATCCACACAACTTCACGTCTTAACTGGCAGAACCATGAACGTGCTTTGGTTCACGCAACAACTGCAGATAAACACCCTCGCTCTACCGGCAGCGTCAAAGCTCTCAGGGCCCTGGTGGGAACTGGGCGGTCCCTGTCTCCTAGGCAACAGCAGAGGCACCCAAGCGACGGAAAAATGCAACCCTTTCCCAAGACCCAAAGGGTGATGTCACTTCCTTCATCTGGGCGGTTGCCCTAGCGACGCGTTGGGCTGAAGGGCGGTATTGGGTACCAGAGAGACTGGCGGCGAGGAAGTCACTTCCTCTGGCAGACGCTGTTTCCTAGCAACCGCCTCCCACTTCCGTTTCTAGCCCCGCCCCCTGGCTCAGACCAGCGCCGGGTATCCGGCTGCTGCCAGGCCCGGGCCAAGGCGAGCGGCTTCTGCAGGAAGCAGCCGCTCCGTCCTCAGCGTCTCTAGGAGTCCGCCGCAGGTACGGCGCGGGCAGGTACGGAACGCGGGACTTGGGGGCCGCGGAGGAACTGGATGGAGACCTGTGCACGGGGCGGTGAGGAGCGGGCGGGGCATCCGGTCGTCACCTGGCCCGGCCGGGAGCGGTCCCCGGGGGCGCGCGCCGCTGCGGGAGGCTCTGCGCCCGAGGCCTGGGCGTCTCTGCTCCGAGCGCGAGGATCCGCGAATTTAAAGCCGCCCATGGTGGAAACTTGGTTTTGCGTTACTTAGCCTTGTGAACACCTTTGTGAGAAGGGAAAGTGACTTGAAAAAATATCTCCGGCTATTTGTCTTTTAGCATTACGATCTTTTTCTTTGAATAGCTTTATGCAAGTTTGTGTGTGTGTGGGGGGGGGGGGGGGGGGTGGTGCTCATAAGTTTTAAACTGACAATCCTCTTGCTAGACTTAAATAAGGCATGACTTTTCTAGGCAATGTTATACTTTTTGAATAGAAGAGGGGTGAAAAATGAGGTGTTCTATTTTAATTGGCAACATTTTGTCATATTAATGTTGCAATCATTTATTTGCTGATCCTTAAAATAGTTGCAAAACTGTTTTATGATAAGTTCATTTGAATTTACCTTTTTTGAAAACAAGCATAAGAGAATTTGATGTTTCTTTGCAAGAACTCTACATTTTAAACTGAAGATGTAGCTAAATGTTCTCATGAGATGCTTTTCTTATTTGGTTTGGCTTTGAGGGGTACGTAAATTACGAAATTCTCAAGCATGCAAAAGAGACTGATTTTTGTCGGTGTGTATTTCAGCAACTATCAGAGGTTGAATTGTTCCGATCGTTTATTAAACATTTTATAAAGGTAAAGAGAAAAAGCATACACTATGTCTGATGAAGCTTTTAGCACAACTTTGGCATATACGAAGAGTCCAAGAATTACCAAAAGAACTACTTTCCAGGTAAAGTATTTCAAAGCATTTTTATTTTGAATGATTTCACAATGTAAACACTGTATTAGGAATGTTGGACTTGGTGATTATAGGAACAGTCCTACATAAAGCAGGAGTAAATATTACATTCGTTTTGCAGTTTTGCAGGTGATCATATCTGGGCTCCAATATTAGAAACCCTCCTGTATGGCTGTCAAAGTAGCCTCAATACTAGGTTCTAAGTTAAATAGTAACTTTAAATTCCGATTTTCATACAAAATTTTTGTTTTCTTGTTGTAGCATAATATTTGTTTTCTATGATGGGACACTACAATTTTTTTTTTTTTTTAAAGATGACCGGTAAGGGGATCTTTAACCCTTGACTTGTTGTTGTCAGCACCATGCTCTCCCAATGACCTAACCAGCCATCCCTATATGAGATCCGAACCCATGGCCTTGGTGTTATCAGCACTGCACTCTCCCGAGTGAGCCACAGCCTGGCCCGGGACACGACAATTTTGAACTAAGCCTCCAAATTTGCTGTATTCATTACAGCCGTTTCTGCAATATGCCAAAACAAAAGCTCTTAAAAATTACCCGTTTCTTCCAAATTCTAATAAATCTTGTCTAAGTTGAGTCCCCTCTTGCTTATTACTCTCCAGCTCTAATTATAACCTGCAACTAATTTATTTGAGTTGCTCATCTCCTCTGGTTTTAAGTGCAAGCTCCATGAGGAAGGGCTCCTGTCTGTGATGTTCTGCAGTGAGTCTGAGGGCTTTGGTGTATGGCACAAAGTAGGCTTGCAGGGAATGTTACTTAGATGAAGGAAACCTAAATCTGAAAGCAGTTATTAATGAAGCATTTATTTGTTTAAAGAATTAATTCTAAATGGGATGGGAATTGATCTTAATTATCTCATTTCAGGATGAGTTAATAAGAGCAGTTACAGCTCGCTCAGCCAGACGAAGGAATTCTGAATACTCAGATGACTTTGATAGTGATGATATTGGTATGTGAGAGTATGGAAAAGTAAACCACTTTTCTTGTTTTTGCTTTCTTGGTTATATTTAGCCCACCCCCAACCCCCCCAAAATCACTTATGTTAACATAATAATATGAACTCATAAGTTTGAGTTTTCTGACTTTTTAATGAATAGAAAGCCACTCTTAATTTTCAAGAAACTGTTTGATTGTCCTTGGTTGTTTCTGAATGTGTATATGAAAATATAAATTAATTGACAGCAGGTTTGCAGTAATTGGATGGCTGTCAATGGTGAACAACATTGGAGACAGCAGGTTCATCTTTAAGGCCAACCCTAGGAGGCCCTACAGCTAGTTAGTAACTAGGGCACACAGAACTAAATTTCAGTGCACATAAGCACTTTAATAATGGTTGATATGGGTCAGATTTTTTTATAGCTGTAATATGGGGTCAGTTTAAAAAACACAGTCCTCTTGTTTCATATATATAGTATTGTTTTAGTCTGTTTTGTGTTGCTATAACAGAATACCTGAGACTGGGTAATTTATAAAGGAAAGAGGTTTATTTAGCTTACGATTCTGGGACAGCTGCATCTGGCGTGGGCCTCAGGCTGCTTCTACTCATGGCAGAAAGTGGCAGGCAGCCGGCAGGTACAAGCAGATCACATGGCGAGAGGAAGCAAGAGAGAGACAGAGAGGAGGTGCCAGGGTCATATAAACAACAAGCTCTCCCGGGAACTAATAGAGCAAGAACTCACTCACTACCCCTCCTCCCCCAGGGAGAGCATTAATCCATTCATTAGGGATCCGCCCCCATGACTCAATCAGTTTCCAACACTGCCACATTGGAGAGCAAATTTCCACATGGGTTTTGGAGGGGACAACACATCCAAACTCCATCAAGTATCATTTTGATTTTTTTTTTTTTTTTTTTTTGGTCATGTAAAAATATTAGCATTTTAGTTTCAGATGTAAGCATACGGAATTCTAAACTAAAGTGTTTTATTCTTTAAAATTCCAGTGAATAACTCTTAATGTTCTGTAAAAATAATCAGAATAATAGTTAAATCATTGCTATGTAGTTAAGTTAGCATTCTTTATTATTCTGTTAGTAAAATCTAATATTCTGGTGTGGATAGAAATTTAGTTCTAAAATTTTTATGGAAAAATGTAGTTAGTAAATTACTGGTTAAATTCTTCGATTTACAAATATTCTTGATTTTATATGATGAAGTTGTTTGTGAATAAAAGTTTTACAGTCCAAATTCTAATTTAAATGTCTTATGGCCAGTTGTTATTTTGAGGGATTTTTGGATGGCTGTTCCCAGAGCAAGCACAGTACTTTGCACCCTGAAGGCACTCAATAAATATGTTTTCAAGAAATTAATGAAATTGATAATTTTATTTCATAAATGCCAATCAAAACTTCCTATGGCCAGTTGTTATTTTGAGGGATTTTTGGATGGCTGTTCCCAGAGCAAGCACAGTACTTTGCACCCTGAAGGCACTCAATAAATGTTTTCAAGAAATTAATGAAATTGATAATTTTATTTCATAAATGCCAATCAAAACTTCCTGTTAGCTGTTTTCTAAAGCTGCAAGTTTATTTGTAAAATAGATTTGCACCTATTCAATTGTAATTTCATTTCTAGTCTTTAAGGTAATCTTAGTTTCTTGATTAATTTCATGTAGCTTTGATAACTTTCAATTATACTATTGAAAACATTTTTTCTTTTCCATTTTTAAGTTTCCTTAGGTGATTTTTCTGACACTTCAATAGATGAAAATTCAGTTAAGAAAAAAATGAATGATTTTCATATATCAGATGATGAAGAAAAGAATTCTTCAAGACCGACTTTTTTGAAAAGCAAGAAATCAAACAGTGACATAACCAAAGACGAGCCAGTATTAGCTGTCAGAAATGACGAGGAAATGGCACGTGATGGTTGTGAAGACATGGTTGTAAATTCCTCATCTGAATCTCAAAACAAAGACCAGGAAATTGAGGAAGAGAAAATTAAAATAAAACCTAAACCCAGAATTCTTTCAGTCAAAAGCACATCTTCAGGTAACTTGTTAGGTCACTACAGTAGCATTTCTTGAAAATTTATTTTAAGTTAATTGGTCACAAAGTTCCTTTATATGGTAACTAGAATATATTTAAGAAAAAAATGTCAGACTTAACTTTTCAATTTTACAGACATAAATCAAAATAATAGAACCATAGATAAAACCTGTAATTCTTATGGCCAGTTGCATATTCAGTTTTGCATCTATGCTGATGCCTGATAGAAAACCAAAGCACCTTCAGACTCCATAGCTGCAGATCCTAAACACCTAGTTCCATGAGCTTCAATTTTGTTTTTAGAGATGGGACTTGAATGGAATCCTTTCTAATCTCTCTTATACTCCAGAGATTAGAGTTGTAGCAGCACTGGGACTAATCCTTGAAACAATCATTTCCATACCTACATTTTGCCAGAAAATTTTTTTTGACATTTGTATATTTAAAGGGAGAAAGTTTTGTTGTTTGTTGAAACCTCCAGACTCTCCTTAAGAAAAGAGAATTTCCATTTGGTCTCTGTATTGCCTAGGAAAATCTACTAAGATTCAGTTTTCCAAGGGGAAGTTCCTGGTATGATTTGTGATAATAGTATTTCTCCTCACAATTCTACTGAGGTCCAGGCACAACAGTGCAAAGGTGGACTGGAACAGGGACCAACCCCTCTAAAGTCCCCTGGGTCAGCACACAGGAACTTGTGCAGCTAGGTTAAGAGTTTATTGTCTTCCAGTCTTTCTGTTTTATAAAGGAAATATAAATTGATGTTAACCTTCATAAAAATATTTTTCCTTTATATATGATCAGTAAGTACAATGACAGTAAATATTTCATGTTTTGCATGTTAGATATCACTGGTAACTTTAGACAAAATTTTATTTTAGGCGTGTATTAGGGAACCACTTTGTTTAATCCCCTCATTATCCCATTAACTTTGAAATAAAGAGAGGACATAAACAGAGCAAAGAATACTAGAATAGTGTCCAGGACACTGGAAAAAAACCCTACTATATATTAGTTATGTATAGCTTCAGCACATAGGTGAAGCCTTACTATCCTCATGAGGAGGATAAAACCCTTCCTCTTGTCCTACAGAATTGTTTTGAGAATCTATTGAAGTATCTCATAAACTATAAAACACTACCAAAATGCAAGCACGAAGCATAACAAAACAATTAACTTGCTAAAATATACGTTCCCAGTGTAGTGAGTGGAATTAAAGATGGAGAGGAGAGGAACATAATTGAAGTTGGTTATTAAGAAAATGTAAGCATATTGCAGCTAAAAATTGGTCTGAGACAGGTGGAAGTATATAATTAGAAATTTATGGTAGATAATCAGCAAAGCAATAATCTACCATTTTAATACCTTTTTTAAAGGATCATGATGAGTTAAAATGGCTATGGAAATACAGTATTTTAACCACAAGGTGGTACTAGGATTCTAAGTGCTCTACTAAGTTATATATGTGATATGATATTCAGTATGTGTAACATAAAAATAATTACCTAAACAGGTAATTATATACATTTGATTATACAGCAAAGAATTTTAAAAATATATGGGCATTCTTTTTTTTTTTTGTCTGAGAACTTGACAATACTTTTGGAAGTGGAATTTGGTGTAAAATATATTAAAGTCATTATTCCCAGGTTCTTCAGATTGAATAATAAAAACTGAGGTGAGTAGTCCTAAGATAATGCCTGGCATATGGAATTCATTAAGTATTTAAATGAATAAATGAATATATGAATGATTTATTTGTGAGAGGAATATAGTTCTTGAGTTTAACTTTATTCTTCTGTAAATGCTTAGACTTTTTATTCATACAGTGTTTGAAACTCAGTATTTTTAATGTGGTGAGACATTGCTGAGTAGCAAATAATGCTTTATAAAAATATTAGAACTTGACGGTTTTCTATGTTCTTTCTCATCTTTTGTAAAAAGTACAGTAACCAGACTCTTTCACTTTATGGAGCAACAGTCACATGGGTAGTGATTGTAGAAAGTATTTTTACAGGGTATGATATTTTTATTTTAATATTAAATTGATTAAAGTTATGAACTTTGGAGTCAGGGTGCTTCTGCTTTCATCCCAGATCGTCAGCTTACTAGAGGTCATGACCTTGGGCATAAGACCTCTCTTTTCCTCATTTTATTCATCTTTGAGACAGAGATAATAGTTGAACTACCTCTGGAGGTTTGAGGCAGTTAAATGAGTTCACATATTTGAAGTGCTTAAACGGTACTGACATAGATTAAGCACTCCATAAATGCTTTAATTATTCATTTTATTATTTAGCATATGTTCATAAGCAGATGGTTTTATTTACCCACACATATTTGTCGTGAATATATTATGTTTTATTTTGTTATATGCACTGTGATGCTGAGTAAGAATACAACACTGAAAAGATACAGTACCAATCATCCAAGACTTTACAGTTTAGCAGGAAGGTATACAAAAGGTACAGGAAGAACACAGGAAAGTGGGCACCTAAGTTTACCTGAGCACATCAGGGAAGGTTTCCTAGAGGAGACAGTAATAATAGCAGTAACAGTGATGAATTATAGTGGCCATAGTCAGAACTCTTGGTTGCAAGTGACCCAGTTCAAACAAACCTAAGTGGAAAGGGAAATTCACCCCCTTATTGAGCATGGTGTCAGAGGCCTTGTTTTAGGTGTGATTATGTTTAGGGATTCAGTGCTTTTAGGGTATTATCTGGATTCTCTCTTTTCTCCTTTTTACATCTGCCCTACCTCCGCAACTCCCTGACCCTCTCATTCTGTCTCCCCCACGTCCCCAGTCACTTCATCCCTTGGTCCTATTTTTCTGTTGTTTGGCCTCTTTTTCTCAAGCAGTCCTTCATATGGCAGGGAAGAAGGCTACTAACAGTCTCCAAATCATATCCTTCCAGTTCCACGACCTTTAAGGCATATTGTCCAACTCCAAATGGAAAAATACCTGGTGCGCTTGCCTGACCTGGACCGCCTTCTGTGGACAGGGAAATTGAAGTTTCTGTGATAAGCTGGGGGAGGAGGATGCATCCTGGGCCTACCCTTCTCACTGAGTATGGAGGAGGTATTTGTTAATCCACCAAAATCACATGGATGGAGTGGAGGAGAAACTACCCCCAAAGAAAGCAGGAATAATATTAGACAAGCCTATAAAAGAAAAAAAGAGAAATGTTTACCACAATTTTTAATGTTCATCGAGCACTTACCATGTATCAGGCACTGTGCTATGCACTTTATCTGGAGTGGAGGAGAAACTACCCCCAAAGAAAGCAGGAATGATATAGACAAGCCAAAAAAAGAAAAAAAGAGAAATGTTTGCCACAATTTTTAATGTTCATCGAGCACTTACCATGTATCAGGCACTGTGCTATGCACTTTATATATATTATTTCACTCAGGACTCACAGGCATCTTAGGAATTGTTAACTTATTTTACTAGTGGGAAAATCTCCAAGGTGTATGGAGGTTAAATGATTTGTGTGAGGTTACAGAACTCCTACGTGTCAGAGCCAAGATTCAAATATGAAGTATCTAAAATAGTTAAACTCCTGGAAACAGGGTAGAATGGTGATTGCCAGGGGCTAGAGGGAGGGGGAAATAAGGTGTAAAGTTTCACTTATGCAAGATGAAGAAGTTCTAGAGATCAGCTGTACAACATTGTGCCTGTAGTTAACAATAGTGTCTTTTCCACTTAATGTGTTAAGATGGGTAGATCTCATGTTAGTGTTATTACCACAATAATAGGGAAAAATAATAGGGAAAAGAAATTGACTCAACACCTTATTTCAGGCATTATACATAATATAATTATATTATACATAATATAATTCTGCATAAACTGAGGCTCAAAAGACACTCAAGCATTTGTCAGGAGGAGAGGCAGAAAGCAAACATTCTAGGCAGAAGGACCACCTTGGGTAAAGGTATGGTAGCAGGAGGGACTGTGGCATGTCTGCTAAACAACTCTTAGCTCAGCATTTCAGAAACACATTACAAAATGGATGTGCTAGTAGATAAGGCAGCACAGGGAGTCAGGGACAAAACTATGAGACCTTTTATATTGTTCAAAGGCAATTAAGCTTTTTTCTGTAGGATTGGATGATGGGAGCCATAGAAGAATTTTGTGAAGAGGAGTGATGTGATCTGATTTGCATTTTGTAAATGTCGCTGAGTGGACAAGGAGCTGACAGTACGGATGTACACAGTGGAATAAATGAGAGAGATATAGCTTAATTAATGATGCTTTAGATTCGGGGGAGAATGGAAGAAGGAATCTAGGATGACTCTTGGATTTGGGATCGAACATTTGGCTAGAGTTTTGGACATAGCTAAAATTGGCAAGGAAATATTTATAGTGATACCAATTTGGTATAGTTGTGGAGTCTTCTAGCAGCGTTCATAAGCCCATTTATAGGTACGGAGAAGGAAGTTGTTCGTAAGACCAGTTTTGAAGTTTTAGAAGAACTCATTTATAGAAAAATAAATATGGGTAATAAATAAAATTGAGGCAAAAAGTATATAAGTAAAAAACCTTCTCATCATGTTTTGAGTGCTGTGAGCATACCAGCATTAGATTCTTATTTTAAACTTAGAAGTAAAGCAATAAGTAACTGAAATTTTAATAACTGCTAGAGAAGTTTTATGGACTTGTAGAACATAACTCACAAATCACCTAGTTCTGCACTCCTTCCCCCAGTGAGAGTCAGCCCTTCTCTCCCGTGTGCCAACATCATCATCTTCACACTTGTACCAGCACTTGCCTCTGTCCTATAGTTTTATTTGTTTAGGATAAACAACCTGTAAAGTTCTTGGACAGTTCTGTTGTCACTGTCTTGATAACGAGGTTCGGTAATGTGTACAGGGCCTGGCATCAGATACTCAGTAAAGGTTTGATGGATGAACCTCCTCATTTCATAGTGATAGAAACTGGAGCGAGGTTTTGTTTTATTTGTTTTTGTTTTTTAAAAAATTTTTGAATTCTATGAGAGTTCATAAAGTTGAAGAGTTAACTTCTCATAAAACTAAAATATACAAATTACTTTCAGGATGTCGACTATTTTTTAAATGTTGTTTATGAACTATCCTTTATTCGTGCCTTACTGGAGTTCTATGTAGAGAAAGGCTGTGGGCTTCCTCTGTATTTTCCAGGGTAGAGCGCCAAGGAGCATGGGTGCAGGAGGGCAGTATGGTGGCACCCTGGAGGTAGTTAATGCCAGGGTCATTTTTTGTACCCACACCTTAAAGCATTTTATTTTTCAGCAGAAAACAGCAGTAGCCTTAAAACAGATGACCATTTTAAACCTTCACCTCGACCAAGGAGCATGTTACAAAAGAATAGCCACAAGGAAGAGAAAGATAGACTAGAAGAAGGTAAAGAGACTGCCCTCAGTGAAGAAAAAGAGCTGCATCTGGCACCTTCTTCCCCTCCAAGGCTGAATGGCAGACAATTAGAAGCCGAGAAGAAAGCATTCTCTGAAAACCTTGATCCTGAGGTTAGCACTACTGCTAAACTGTTGAATTTAGTCCTTTGCATATGTTTATGAGAAACAGAAAATGAATTTGTGTGCAAAAGTCTGTGTCTATTTTACATGATTTCTTCTGAAATTGATAAGGAAATAATTTTAAGGTCTTTAATATATTGTGTTACATTGAGTTTAAAATTCCATTAATTTAAGATGTAGCATTTATTTTACATACCACTAAGAAAGAAGAAAATTCTTCTAGTTTAGCTATAGCACAACAGTGAGTGTAAGATGCCTCCAATTTCAGAGAAAGTAAAATGTAAAAAACAAAATCGTGCTCTTCTGAATCTATACAACCTTGTTTATCATTAATTATAAGAATTTATATTTTTATTTATATATTTTTGAATTTATATAATTTATGGCTAAAGACAATATCGTCAGTGTCATTTTATTCATTTGATTTTATTCACTGAACAGATGTGTATTGAATGTTCATGGCACTGTTCTACGTTCTTTGGGATATGCCAAAATGGGATAAAATGTGACTCTTCAGGTTTCCATCAGGGAGTTTACTATGTCTTGTTATTAAGGTAGAACACTTAGTCCCTGTCTTTATTTTACTATGGAAAATGAACTTCCACCTCATATTTCAGAGGGAAAAGTATGGGAAGAGCATTCATTCTTCATGATCTGCTGTGGCAGATGTGGATAAAGGTAATAAATGTGACCTGGCCAAGCTTCTTTCTTTTTCTCATCACTCATCTGCAGTATTGGTGTGTAAGGATCTGCTTCCTGGGAAGTGATGCAAAGGGGGCTGAGAGGAGCTCCTTTGCACTATGACTAAATGGGTGAATCCCGCTAATTCAGACCTGCAGTATTAAGAATCACAATAGGCTATTAATTCAGATTTCGTTCTGCAGTTCAACTTTACCAGTAAAACTGACAATTTGATATTCATCTGTCTGACTCCCGGTGCTGTTTCTTAATTTTTCTGAAAATCAGAAGAAACTAAAACAATTATTTTATGTCTATTAAAATTATCTGGTCAATTGAATATTGTGATAGTTTCCATTAGCCGCAGTAACAAATTGCCACAAGCCAGTTGACTTAACAGAAATTTATTTTCTCAGTTGTAGAGGCCAGAAGTCTGAAGTCAAGGTGTTAGCAGGGTCACATTTCCTCTGAAGGCTTTGTGGAAGGGTCCTTCCTCGCCTCTTTCAGCCTCTGCTGGTCGCCAGCAATCCTTGGCGTTCCTTGGCGTGTAGCCTCATCACTCCAATCCCCACCTTCATCACCACGTGACCTTCTTCCCTGTGTCCCCTCTGTGTCTGTCTCCTCCTTTTCTCTAAAAAAAGTCATTGGATTTAAGGTCCACCTAATCCAGTATGTCCTCATCTTAACTTATTACATCTGCAAACATCTCATTTCCAAATAAGATCACATTCTGAGGTTCTGGATGGGCATGAAGTTTGGGGGAACACTTCAAACTGGTACAGATACCTAACTTTAAATGTTATTTACTATCATTTTTATATCCCTGGATTAAAATTGTTTTTAAAGAAGTATTCCTAAAATTTTTAAAATAACATGATACTATGACAAAATTTAGGAGAAAAATATCTAATCATAATCCTACCACCTAATGGCAATGATGTTCATTCTTCCTATTCCATTCTAGGCTACTTTCCTATACTGCATTTGTTTTAGCAGATTTGCTACCTTAGCATTCATAGCATTTGTATCATTCTTTTTGTTTGTCTCTTAGCATTAGATCATGACGTATTTTCATGTTGCTGGGTGATCTTGAGACCACATTCATGTTAATGACTGTAACATATCCCATAACATAAAACTATCATCTTATTATTGAGTATATTGGATACTTTTATTTTTAACAATCTAAATTTTTATTTTCATCATTACAAAAATCTTTCCAACTGTGCTGTGAATCTTTTTTAAATTCACTTTCTCAGGGATTTCCCATCTATGTTTTGTTCAAGCCTTTTCTCTCCTGTGTCTATAACCTTTGGCTCACTGGTCTGTTTCCATTCACATTCAGCCTTGTTCAAGCCTCTTTATCTTTGTGCACACTCGCACGTGACACTGCTCCTCTCCCCCTCCTGCCTTACAGTCCCGCAGGTGTCACAGTCAGATACTGAAAGGGTGAGCTACATTTGCTTTCTCAATACATCCTCATCTCCTACCTTTCCTTTCTGTATAAGTGCGTGCACATGTGTGGCATGTATGTGTGTGTGTGACTGACCTTTTATGCCATCTCTGATCTGTTCTTGTCCAGTGATTATTTAATTTCAGATATTCTAGTGTTCAGTTCCAGATTTTCCATTGGTAATTTTTTGTATTTTATATTATCCCTTATATTTTCTTTTATGAGTATGTATCACCACTTTCTGTTTCTTTACCAACTAGTTGACTTTTGGTTGAATACTGGATATTACGTATATGTTACAGAGATTCTGGATTCTGTTATGACCCTCCAAACATATTTTTTAGCAAGCAGATTTCATGGCTGGATGCAAAGTCCCAACTCCATCTCCCCCACATTGTATATCAGCTGAAACCTCTGCTTAGTTCTTTCAATCTCTAGAGCATCCTCTGAAGTCTCTCTTAAGCCATTGATACATGAGACAAGGATTTGGGTGAATTTCATATGCTGGTTTTGGTGTTCACTACCCTTTGCTACTCCTTCCCAATTTATTGGCTGATTTTCTGCTCCTAAACTCTTAATCTCTGTCTCCTGAAGCCCATCCAGTAATGCTGTAGCCTTCTACCACTTGAGCTGTACAGATTGGGGAATGTTTTCATGCAGAAAGCTTCTAATTTGCAAATCTCCTCAGGTGAAGCTTTGTCTTTAAAGGTAGACTCTACTGTTTCAGCTCTTCTGCCATTTCCCCAAGTGGTTTTTATTCATTGCTTTTGATATATAATTTCCTTTGTATGCATAAAATATTGTGGGAAAGAAAATAAAATATATTATGCAACAAAATTAAACTTTTTACATTATAATATGATCGCCTTTAGGCTAGGTTATTCTATAAAGAGGTGTTTCCTTTAGACACGGAAATATAATTATTTTATTTAACATGATTTTCAGCATTTTGAGGAAAACTCAAGTTCATGAAATCTCTGTACTTTTACTATCTGAAATATTTGGAAATAGCTATCTGCTTGGCTTTACAAATTACTGTCATTTGGACAACTAGCAGTATTTGTTTGAAGCTAAAGGTTTTTATCTATTGATTTCTTTATAATATCCTTGAAGGGAGAATTATAGAAAGAGCTATCAAAATCAAATCTTTGCCTTAAATATTTATAAGAGGTTAGATTTTTTTTTTTTTTGTCTTTTTTCATGTCCGGCAACAGATCGCAACCCTCAGTGTCGCGCCCGTACCGGACTGGGACCGGCAACGGGATCGCAACCCTCGGTGTTGCTCCCACACCTTGCTCAGCCAGTGAGCGGGAACCGGTCTATATGTGGGATCCGAACCCTCAGCGGGAGTGCCACCGCGCTCCCAAGCGGCGCACTGTAGCAGTGCGCCACCGGGCCGGCCCTAAGAGGTTAGATTTTAAAGCCCCAGGAGTTTTGAAAATTGCTATAAGCAGAGAGGTGGCAGTTAGATGAAGAACTAGAGTAACTATTTTAGTGATCCCTTTTAATGACCAAGGCATCAAGGCTTGAAAGTAAAGCATATTAGCCTCCATTTACTTAGTGCTTTTGGTGTTTCAGCAGCAAACTCCTTATAATGCAGATTTCAGAGTTATGAGATCATTTTAATGATGCTATTGTTTCTACAAATCTTGAGAATTAAACTAACGTGGTAAATATATGTTTTTTTTTCTTTCAAAAAACAGGATCCATGGTTAACAAGTCAATCATCATCATCCCTTAAAGAAAGTCTTGGAGATTCCTTTTCACCAGGATCTGGAGAAAAAGCATACATAAAAGGTGGTTGTATTTAGTTATCGTATCTTATTTTATTTATGAACTCTCTATTGCTTAGAATCCTGTCTCTAAGAGAAGCCATACTTTGCATAGTTACAGGGAAAATATATGTTTGTATTTGCTTGAGTTTTAATCTAGACTATGGATTTTACTAACTATGTGATTTTATTTATTTTTTTTATTTTTTAAAAGATGACCGGTAAGGGGATCTTAACCCTTGACTTGGTGTTGTCAGCACCACGCTCTCCCAAGTGAGCCATGGGTTGGCCCTTAACTATGTGATTTGAAATGCAAAACTTAATCTCTCAGTGCCTCAGTTTCCCCAAGTTGTAATATTACCTGTCTCATAAGGCTGTTTTGAAAACTAAGCGATTTAGTGCATTTTAGCCACTAATCTAGTTCTTGGATCGAGTGGAGTGATCACTAAGGGTGTACTATTATTATGTATCTGTTGCTGCAGTAGTCTGTAGTACAACACAATGGCTAGGTAGAATTTTAGAATGAGACTAAGCTAGGTTTGAATTCAGGCACACACATGAGCAAAATAACTAACTTCTCTGGTCCTGTATGTTGATCTTTAAAATGGAGATAATAAGAGTAATCTACCTAGTAGGGTCATTGAAAGAATTAAATGAATTAATAATACATGTAAAGCATTTAAAACAACACCATAGTAAGTATATAGTAAGTGTGAGGTATGAATTATTAACCTTTTTTCTTAGTGCTATCACATGTAGCTTAATGAGAGCTAAAAGGCATGGCTGTTTCTAGGACTGGGATGTGTAACTAACATCTGTTAAGTGCTTACTATGTAGTATAATTTTTGTCATTTTACAGAAGAGAAAAATTGAAGTGATAGATATTGGGAAACATATCCAAGGTCATTGATGGAGCCATAGTTAGAATCTTCAGCTCCAAAATCCTTGTTCTGTTCACTGAATAGATTAACAGCTTCAAAGAATCCAGTAATGAATTGAGTCATGGGTGCTTTCCCAAATATGAATGTATAACTATAATAATAATGTGATTTTAAGTCCATCTTACCTCACAAGTTTCAAAAAAATGGCCATAGTACAAATAACAGATTTAAGACTTTTGACAGTGAAGATACAAGTTTGTCCAGGAGGTAGAGATCCTAGTAGAACTGAGAATTGGTGATCCCCATGGACAGCCCTGATTTCTTTCTGCTGAGCATTCTAAAATGTGATGGAATCAAAATAATAGAAATAATTCTGTGAAAGCAAAATGGAATCTTCTTGTGTCAGAGATTGAACCTGTTCCTTGAAGCACTGAGAGGATAAGTAACAGGCTTGTCTTTAGTGCCCTTTTTGGTGTCAGTGACAATATTGCATCACAGTGGGGATGAAGCTCACTAGAGACTGGCTTTCTTTTCTGTGTAATATTGCATTGATTCTTGGTTCTGTCTGCATGTATACAGTTCAATAGTTGTACTACTAGTAATCATCGTAGCATAGAGATGTGTGCCTTCTACTTACATAACCTGTTGTTCCAGCTAAGAAATACAAGGCTTTAGAATTGAACAGATATTGCCATCTCGCTTATTTGGTTTAAACATCAGCAATTTTTTTTGGTATTTCTTTGTTTGGGGGTAGTTATTCCATTCCATTTATTAATATGCTATTATTTTAAGTGTTACATATGTTAAGTGCTTCATTAGGTCATTTTTGGTTTTGTAGATCACTTTTGAGAAAAGATTTATTCAAGTTTAATATAATTGGGTTTTTTTGTATTTTATTTTGCAAGAAAAAAAGACATTATAGACAGCCCTCATTTAAAGGAAAGCAAATGAATCTGTTATCCACCTTATTAATTCAGAAGGGGGTCTTAGTGTTGTTATTCTGTGTCAAAATAGATCAAAATGAAGAATTCATTGAAAACTATAATTCCTTCAAATCAAATGAAATTGAAGAGAATTCATTTTCAATAGAAGTCATGACTGCTGCACTTGAGAAATCTAAGGAAAGTCTAGTGACTGCTGATGACCTTGAAGAAGAAAAGGAGAGAGCGGAACAGATTATGGATGGTGATTTAACAGCCGATCTGCAACTATTTAAATCTCAGAGTATCTTAATATCCACCAATACAACTGAATCTGCAAAGGTATTTATATAAATTTCAACCTCTTATACTACAGCTTAAAACCTGAAAGAGAACTTTAACATATTTTAATGAAACCCAGTGTTTCATTAAAAATTATCAGAGGTATATGATCATAATATACTTTTAAATGTTTTGTAAATACATACCCATATGTGTATAGGTTTCTGTAGGTCTTAATATTTAAAAAATGCAACTATCTGGAACAGTTTCTGAGGTTTTGAATTAGTGAAAGTTATTTCTTTGGATATCATTGTAAAACATGTTAACAGTTTTAATGAAAATCTTTAAGATATGTTTATCAGCATGGATGCTTTTTTAAATAGATGGGCAGGGTTGTCATCGGGAATACTACTTAACCTTAAGAAACATAACCTTCAGAAACATATTTGTGGTATGTAGGATTACTTGTCCCTATACTAAATTGTGCCATAGTACCAAACATTTCAAATTTATGGTATAGCATTTTTAGTCATTATTCCTCCTGAATTTACTCCTTATCTCTTATAGCTGCAATTAGCTAGCAGTAATAGGTATTCATTGTTAGGGGAAGAAACCAGTGCTAGCTAAAAACTTGTGGTTGAGCAGGGTTTTTATAATACAAAATATTAGCTTTTTATTAATATTTATGGAGAAGATTCATTAAGCCACGTTCCAGGTATATCATCCTTAGTGACTTTCCTTAGGAAAAAACGCTCTTGTCAAGTTAGGGATGTGTTTACATCTGTACTCTCTCTTTATTGCTAGCACCCACCCACCCATCTGTGTAAAGTAGAAAAGTTATTCCTTAAAAGAAAGAAGGGTATTTTGCAGTTTATAGACAGGATTTTTAAAATGTCTAATAGAGGTAGTTCTAAATTAGAACTGCAGTTTACACGTAACAAATAAGATCATAACATATATCTTTTGACTGAATCCTTGGCTTTATTCTTATTCTCTAATGAGCGATTTTTCTTAAGGATGAATCTAATCATTCCCCTGTTAAAGTCTGTTTGTTGGTTTCTCATCATGAGAATAAAATGCAAACTCCTTACCACCGCCTAATGACCTCATATTTTTCTCTGACCACATAGTCCTCCACCCTCCCTGCCATTCAACACGTGTCGGCACCATTGAATGACACCATTTTTCTGTTTTTCAAACATATCAACCTCCTTCCCTATTCAGACTCTTAGAACTTAGTTTTTTTGTTTGTTTGTTTGTTTGTTTTTTCCTTTCCTAGACCTTCATGTGGGCCCTTTCCTCTTACCATTTTCAGCTCTGATGTCAAGCAGTCAGGGAGGCCTTCCCAGATCAGCTTTATTAAAATAGCCCTCAAGCCCATTTTAGTCACTCTCTGTCACTGTACCCAATTTTTTCTCCTTCGGATTATGTGTTTATTGTCAGTCAACTCTCTCTAAAATTTAATCCCCTTGAGGGCATTTTATTCACTGATTTGTTCCCAATACCTACTGTGTTTGACACATAGAAGATGCTTAAAAAATATTGATTTACTGGCAGTTTGGCCTCTAAGCCTGTGACAGTTAAGTAATCCATCTGTGGCATTTTCTGTTTAATAGAAAACAATTGAAGACAGAAATATGAAGAATAAAAAGTCAACAAATAATAGAGCATCCAGTGCATCTGGCAGGTAATGAAGTTATCAGTGTTCCTCATTTATGGATTTGTATTCTAACAAAGGGGGCTTAAATTTAACTTTGTAAAGTAAATTTCATTTGGTGTTACTTGATTATCTTAATTTCCATCCTGTGAGGAAAATAGAGTAGTTACTTCATTATAAAACCCCTCAGTTGATTATATTCTTTTATAAAAAGTAATAAGTAAAGTGATTAAGTCTATTATTGGATGCTTTAATGTCTGAAATGTTTACACGGTACCTTTGGTCTCCAAGGTCTTCTCTCCGGGACCATTTTTCTATATTCTTTTATAAAAAGTAATAAGTAAAGTGATTAAGTCTATTATTGGATGCTTTAATGTATGAAATGTTTACACGGTACCTTTGGTCTCCAAGGCCTTCTCTCTGGGACCATTTTTGTTTTTTCCTAATGTCAGTGATTAGGGATTCTTCATAGTCAACACTACTCCTGAGATAGAGCTTCTTTCTTGTGTTTTTCCTGAGACAGTACATAAAAAGTGGTAATAAAGTTGAAGTCTAGCATTTTACTTCTCTGTTAAGGATCTTTGTCTAGCACATGAAAAATTGTTCTTTAAAGCCTTCAGGTTCCATGGCCTAAGTGGGCTTATTAAAATGACAAGAATCTGTATAACTTTATCCATGCTGATCATAATGAATGCCTAACTCACATAAGTACTAATCGAAACCTTCTGAATCTTTTAAGTCTTCATTAATCAAATGATCATTAATCAAAAAGAGGGCCAGCAAGCTTTTCCTGTAAATGGCTAGTAAGTACATATTTTAGTCTTTATAGGCAATACAGTCCATGTTGTAACTACTAATTTCTACTACTGTAGCAGGAAAGCAGCCATAGATAATATGTAAATGAATGAATATAGCTGTGGTACAATAAGCTTTATTTATCAAAGCAGATGATAGGCCAGATTTTCCCACCAACCCCTGAAACAGAAGACACTATTCTTTCTTTTTTTTATCATGTGGGCAAAAGAGTACCAAAAGGCACTCACATTGGGTTACCTGAGTGCCAAACATATTCCTCCTTGTCTCCACTGTGTACACGGAAATCTTCTTCCTCGTGTTTTCTGGATCAGTTACTTCTAACAAGATGGTGACTCCTGTTCGCTTGCTGGTCCCTGAACATAAAGATCCCAAGTGTTCAGGGGGCAACTGTAGCCTGTACTTCAATGAAAACTTTGC